CTTCTATACTGTTCAGCACGTAGCTGTTTATTATTAGCATTGTTCTTCCGACATCTGATTTCTTTTTAATCATAGGAAATGCGTTTTTCTAAAGTACATAAACTTTTGGGATTGACTGTATAGCCAATACATCCTTAATATCTCTTTAAGGTTTTCATGTGCATTACCGCGTTTTTCTAGCAGACTTTATCGATCGTCGAAGTTTTCCTTTCAAGAACGGGGGAGTTAATATCGACCGTGTCTTCGTTGCAATTACCCCATGCCACTATAATAACGTTCCTTATACAAGCTAATAGCTCATAAAAGATAAAATCGTTGTGAATCGCCTCCAAGCGAGATTTAGTTCGATTAAGCAAATTCTTTTTGAAATTCATTGAGATAATAATATCGCATATAATCCCTTTGTTATGACACGTGTTTAAACCCCGAAGTGGAACGCGAACTAGCATCGAAGGTGCTTCCATAGAAATCACGTTAAATTTAACAGGATCACTGGGCCGCTTGTAGCGGAGAAGCAAAACTCTATAAGAAATAATAAACAGAACTTGTCTAGAATAAAAGAAGGAGTCTGATAAACGCAAACGGCCTCGATGGTCTTCAAGTTCATCGGGAATTAGTACAAACTTCTAAATCTCTTTTGAAAACTATTTAACTCCCACATCGAAGCGAAACGTATTTCACAAATTAAAGGGAAACTATTTTAAATCAACGATGACGATCAACGTGTGATTAACTGCACCAAGGTTTACGATGCGGTCGATAAAACCTTAGTCGACGGCGCACGCAGGATCTTGAACAACCTCGCAAAACTAATCTAGCATTACATCTCACCCGGCACAGCCGAAACTCACCGGAAGTGGAGTTGAGATACGGCAGCTCCTTCCTCAATATGATCGAGGGCAATCTCGAGCATCCGCAGATGTCCTCGATGTCCATCATCGATTTGCTGTTCTTCATCCTTGTGGACGGTACGCAGTCTCAGGTGACTCCCATCGACAAGCGGCATCACGATCAGCATGGGTCCCAACCCCGTGCGCTCCGCCGACGAACTTTCTCTTCTCTGAATCCTCGATCGATCGACGACCTTGTCATTGTTTGCTCACAGACGTTTCACGTGCTCTTCGTCTACGTCGATCGATCTTTGGTTGACGCGAAATCAAAATGGTAGTCGAAGATCCCCGGATCTATTCATAGATCGCCGGTGATCGCGGCCAACTGAACGAACGAGGAAGACCGCAACGGGACCTATAAGCCCGCGCTCGGTTCGTGTCCGGTACTTATAGCATGGTCGTTGCGCGGGGGGTGGGCTTTTGCACCCTCTTTACCTCTCTCTTTCTCTCTGCCTAGGCAATTTCACGAGTCGTGGCAACGAGTGCCTCGTGCGTTCGGATCGATCGATAGTAAACGCGCCCACGAAAGGGCAGAAATATTCCGGATTAGAGCGGCGAGGAACTGGGGCGCCTCGAAAATAATCGACGTCTTAGGGGAGATACGAGGGTTGCTCACAGATTTTTCCTCTTCCTAATATTCTTTCTATACATACATGAGAAAATTGGAAAAGAACGTAATACATAATGCGATAGAAACTATTTAACTTGAATTCATTTTTAGGGGTTGTTTTATTATCGTTTTAGCTAAGGATTCACGTGACACGTTGATAGACTAAGTACAGCTGAAGATTGTCCTCCTATTCATTCTCAATATTAAGAATATCATTCTTAAATGCTTTATTTCTTGCTTGTGCTTAAAAAAGGTTGAAGCATATTTAAATTTTGTATCGATCATTGCTATACATTGAACTTGAGGATAAAGCTCAATGGTGCTATTCTTCCTACGGCTGTTAATGGTAGTCGTTTTGCCATCTTGCGGGATCTGCTCGGTGATGTTACTATTTGCTGAACCGATAACGTTGAAAATGACAGAAAAATTTTGTTTCCAACTGCAATGAACGGAATTTCGTACAATATGTATTGAATCTATCCTGCACCTCGTCTGTGGTTGGGGTCAAAGTCTTGCTTGCAAAATACGACGAATTGTGTTACTGTGTTATCCAGTTTGGTACATTTACGTTTACACGCATGCGTATTCACCGCCGGCTGCATCCACATATTCACTTCTACTTTACGTCTGTACGGCTTGTACGTCTGTACGATACAGTGGTTCCATGAGCAGATTTTAATATCTTTACGGGCGTGTGCATGCTGCATTGTAAAACATGTCACAATACAGATTATTGAGTGTTGTTGCGAGTTTCTCGCACATTAATAAAAATATGGTAACGCGGACAGGTAATTACAAGTTAAAAAAGTGAAACAAATTTCATATATCCGGCTAATCGCATTTCGAACCTTTGTACCCGACCAATTTACTGGATAAACTTATCGCGATTTACATGTAATGAAAAAATTGTAATCCAATTCTTCCACGTATTTTCAACATATAGATAATTAATAAAATTGTAAAAAATGTTCCGTCCAAATCGAAGAATATCTGTAAACGATGATCTTACGTATGATCCTCTTTATTTTACCTTTTAAATTACAAAAATTCGCGGACATGCAAATCGAACAGTTCTGATTTTCTTTTATTTCGATCGATTATTTCTAACTGTTGCTTTTAGCACTGTATAATTCTATGAGAAGTCTGTCTACCACGACAAATACGAAGCACCTAAAATACAAAGTCGTAGACAATGTAGCAGTACTTACTCTGGACTCCCCAGGAGTCAAGGTACATGACTAAATACGTAATTAATTTATATAAATTATATAATACAGATTACTAAAAATGATCGAAATTTACACACGATGCAGGTAAACACTTTGGGCAAAGAAGTTATGGAAGAAGTAGTAACTCTCCTGAAAGATATAGAAGCAGATTCCTCTGTGAGATCAGCAGTACTTATAAGTGGGAAACCTGGATGCTTTATTGCTGGTGCTGATATTACTATGATACAACAGTGTAAGACTGCAGAAGACGGCTACAAGATATCTTATGAAGGTCAACAGATTTTAAACAGTATTGAAAAGAGTTCGAAACCTATTGTAGCTGCCATTCAAGGCAGTTGTTTAGGAGGTGGATTGGAGGTATGCTATTTGATAAATTTATTACTGTAATGAATTTGATAGAATTAATTATTATTATTACAGGTTGCAATGGCTTGTCATTATAGACTTGCTGTGAATGATCAAAAGACTAGTTTGGGTTTACCAGAAGTAATGTTAGGTCTTCTGCCTGGAGGAGGTGGCACGCAAAGATTACCCAAATTGTCATCGATTCCCAATGCCTTAGATATGGCTCTCACTGGAAAAACTGTAAAAGCACAAAAAGCTAAGCAACTAGGCATCGTAGATCTCCTAGTGAACCGCCTGGGTCCTGGCAATGGACCAGCGGAAGAGAAGTAAGACATTTGCTCTAGTAACAATATTATAAAGTCTGCATGTTCTACATATATTAAATCTTTCCAGTACTATGAGGTATTTAGAAGAGACAGCTATCAAAGCTGCAAAAGATATTGCAAATGGTACTTTAAAAGTCGAGCGAGGTCCGAGATCGCTGTCTGATAAACTTATGAATTATGCCTTCTCCTTCGAATTTATAAAGAACCAAGTGTTCACTCGGGCGAAGAACGAAGTAGTGAAGAAAACGGGTGGCTTATACCCTGCTCCTCTTAAAATCTTGGAGGTAATACGTACTGGCTTGGATAAGGGACCTAAAGCTGGGTACGAAGCAGAAGCAAAAGGTTTTGGTGAACTGGCAGTCACGCCTGAATGTAAAGGTCTCGCGAGTTTGTTCTTTGGTCAGACAGCGTGTAAGAGAAATCGTTTTGGCACACCGAAGAGTGCGGTTAAGTGAGTTTTATGGATCATATAAAATGATCGTTTTATTTTATAGATATAATTGTGCGTACTTTCAGAAAAATTGCTGTTGTGGGTGCTGGCCTCATGGGGGCAGGTATAGTTCAAGTGAGCGTAGATAAAGGTTTCGAAGTAGTTATGAAAGATACGAACCAAGCCGGTCTATACCGTGGTCTGGGCCAAATACAAAAGGCCATGGACACTGCCGTGAAACGGAAGAAGTATTCTCTGTTAGTTTCAAACATTTCCTAAGTTGCGCTTAAATATTTTTATGTTTCTTTTTTGTGTGTTATTTTTTTTATTTATTTTAGGCTTCAGAGAGACAGATTTCTTTCTCAGCTCGATTACACTTTAGATTATAATTCCTTTAAAAACGCAGATATCGTGATAGAGGCTGTTTTCGAGGATATCGCTATTAAACACAGAGTTATCAAGGAAATAGAGGCGAACACACCAGAGTACTGTGTACTCGCAACGAATACATCAGCGATTCCTATCACTGATATAGCCGCTGGTAGCAGCCGTCCCGACAAGGTATCGTTTCGCCTATTATTCTTCTAATTCAGATCCGTCAAATAATGTATTTACAGGTGATCGGAATGCATTACTTCTCTCCGGTAGATAAAATGCAATTATTAGAAATAATAACGCATAAAGGTACAGCGGCCGAAACTATAAAAACTGCAGTCGACGTTGGCTTGAAACAAGGGAAGACGGTCATCACCGTAGGAGATGGACCCGGTTTTTACACAACGAGAATCCTATCTGCTATGTTATCTGAAGCTATCAGATTGATGCAGGTAATGTTTCTCATCTGACATTACACTATTACGTTAAATAAAACATATAATATTGAACGTGCTAACAGGAAGGAGTAGATCCCATGGATCTGGATAGTCTCACTAAAAAGTTTGGATTCCCTGTTGGGGCTGCAACTTTATCAGACGAAGTTGGTATTGATGTCGGTGCTCACATAAGCGCACATCTCGTAAAAGCTTTAGGCGACCGATTCAGAGGTGGAGATGTAAATATACTCGGCGATATGGTAAAAGATGGTTTCTTAGGACGAAAATCAGGCAAAGGAATATACGTATACGAAGTCAATACGAAGAACAGAAATGTTAATCATGGAGCACTGGACATTTTGAAAAGATACAAAATCGAACCGAAGGGAAGTACGTCCACCGAAGATCGTCAACTGAGGATGGTGTCCCGTTTTGTTAATGAAGCGGTACTCTGTTTAGAAGAGAATATTTTGGCTAATCCGGTAAGCGAAATTTGCATTGGCACCTGGAATTCAGTACTATGCATTCTTTATGCATATTTTTTTCAGTTGGAAGGCGACGTAGGAGCTGTTTTCGGATTAGGATTCCCTCCATTCACCGGCGGACCTTTCCGTTGGGTGGATTCCTACGGAGCCCATAAATTAGTGAATAAAATGGAAGAATTCCGTGGCCATTACGGCGATGCATTTAAACCGGCTCAGACTCTGTATGATATGGCATCTGATTCCAGCAAGAAGTTCCACAAGCAGTAGAAGCTTGCAACATTGAGAGTTTTATAGACTTGCATAATTTGCTTGAGCGCGTTTGCAATATTTGGGAATATATTTTTTGATAATAATATAAATATATTGAGATTGTTTTTAATGATGTTTTTAACTTCCTTCAACCGTCAATGCAAAACTAGTTATATAATATAATGTATGTATATATATCATAAGATTTTTATACGAAATATATTTTGCGATAAAGTGAACAAATTTTCACAATAATGTAGTATTAAAGTTTATTTTTGCAAAACACTGTGCCGAAAGACCGAAATGTACATACGCTCTGTTTTCCAACATAAGATGTATACTTCCTGTTATTTATTAGATTCCTATACATATATACAATATGTTATTGAAACAAATTTTAATAAAGAAGTTTGCTAAGCATTTCCTTCTGCAAAGTTAGCGTCACGCGCTAAAATGGTCAATGATGAACGTCTGATTACTACTGTACGTATATGAATAAATTTATTGCCTAATTAACATTTTTTATTTCCTCTGAATTATGAAAGAGAGACGAAGGAGTGGAATTCTCGTTCTTGATGCAATGTTCAGAAAATGTTGCACTTTCAATTGCATGAATATTCGTCAAGATATAAAAATTGAAATCCTGATTCAATAATACAAATAAGACGAAGTAAAAAAACATATATATGTATGTATATATATAAAATGCAATCAACGATTCTTTTACAATTTTTGTATTCATATTTGGTAAGATTATAAAAATAAAAGAATACACTTTATTGTTCAATAAAATCAGGTAATAATTAAAAAACTTACAAAAGTAATAATTATATCAATAAAACAATACAAAAAGAATGTACGTGTGTACATAAGGAACGCAGTCGCCTTCGACTGTTGAGGCTCAAACTTGCTTTCAGGGCACCCCGATGTCCCTTGACAATCGCTGATGACACACATTATTATTATTACAGTATATATTGTAATACCATATCGTTTAATGTAACAAAATAATAAGTCCTAGGTTTACATTTAGTATAATACTATAGTACTTATCATTATCAAATCATTATTCCCACAGGCTTAGAATAAAAAATTATTTCCTTCCCTCTGTTAAATTTTCGATAGAACGAATTTTAATGAAAACAAGCGAGAGTAATCAAGAGGACATTTTACATCATCTACCGGTCCCACACCTGTTTGTGACATTTACAATATTAAAAGAAGTCAAGTCCTTGGCTGATGCAAGAAACCGTAACGTTTCGTGAGAAACTATTAGCGAGGATTATGCTTTTAAATTGACCTGTATAACTTTTTTACTTGTTTTCGACGAAAAATACGAACAGAAATTTAAGAGCCATATTCTAGGAACAAAATTATAACAAACTAACAATCGATTTCATATTCAAGTTTAAATATTCATCCTCTTTTAATTGTTTTAAGCTCAGCGTTGTATGAAATGTAAAATATAAAATTTAGCTCATTCTTGCGGCCAAATAACAATGAATATTCGAGATAACACATAATTTCATTCAGAATATGTTTTGAGAAACTTCGGTGTTACAATTATCTCTAATTTTTTATGCAGAGATTACTGGACACAGAAATAGCCAAGAAAATAAATTTAATTTTCTATAAAAAATCACGTATTTTCGGTACAATCTACGAATATAAACGGTTGATAAAGGAAATCTTATCTCAATCGATAGCTTTGCGAATCGCATTTTAACACGACTATAATTCTTTTCCAAAATTCCGGCTGGACTCTTTCTATAGGACATTCCTGATTTCTATTAACCTGAAGTGTATATAAGTTACAGTCATCACGAAAATTTTTTATAAAATCTCTTTACATCAATTTAAAATCTAACGAAGTTAATTATTCGTACGTTTTATTCGTCGAACTCCTCAGATCAGATTTCTTTACGATCCGAGCAAAACAACATATTTGAGAAAGCGTCGATGGTTTTAAGTTCGAGCACGATCTCCGTGGATTTTAATCAACAAGGGAAAGATCGTATCCACGCACTCGAACGCAATCGTACTCTTTATATGATGCGTGATGGAAACTTTTCGTTTTGATATAATAGTTGCTGAACACGTTGCTTTGCATTCTGATACCCACATTTTCTGTAATTTTGTCTGTATGTACTTATGTGGAAGCGAAATATTATCGTGCGTGGAAAAGTTGTTGAATCCGACACACTAAGCGTTTAACTATTTACCAATTATAATAATCAAACACGATCTATTACTCTCTTACCCTTGATGAACCACGGAAAATTCTTGTCTTTTGAATTAATCACTTTACTCCAGTATCGCACGTGTAGCGAAGATTGTAATTCGTAATTGAAAAACAAGATATACCATATTCCCTGGCTGTAAATTGTCAACGCGCAACGAAAGCTGGGCGTCGAAGAAAAAGACGAAAGAGGATGTGGAGGCAAGCCAGGTATTCAATAGATGCGTACGTACAATACTTTTACGAAAGTATACAAGTCGTTTAATTAATCTCTGCTTTTGTAGAAAAATCTTTAAACTTATCTCTATACACAATATTTAAAGTCTTACTCCATCAGGTAAAACGCATAACCGGACGAGCTAGTATATACATATGTACATAGATACATGGATAATTAACATATATAACTAGTTTACGATAATGAAAACAGAATAATTCTAGCATTTTTGCATAGCCGTTATGTATATAGTCAGATAAAAACTGTCTTTGCATCTTTAAATAAATACTCTTTCTCGGTCAACGTGCTTATGCATCACAGATCACAGACACACTTAGGTACTTGGTTCACGGACGGCAGAAAAGCCTCGTTTTATATGACTTCAATCACCGCTCCTCGTGCCTTCGAGTCCTCTCCTTTTAAGTACGCGTTTTTGTTAACTTGTCTCACACTAAACTCGACGCACATTTGATAAGGCAATTAAGGAGCGTACGTTCGCCCGCGCAAAATCTTCTGCGTTATCTTTGAACTCTTACAGAAGGGATCCGGTTCGACGGTTCTATCGCCGTCGAAAAATCGTTAGATCCAGTTTCAATCATAGAATTCGAACATAACGTGCGACGTCACTTTCTCTTTAAGCAGCTAACTGCGGTGGAATAATCTGCTGCGTCGGCTGGGTCAATCGCGGCGCTATAACCGGAAGTAGGCTTACCCTCAAAGGTGCGGGCGTCACTTGTCCAACGGAAGTTTGACCACCGGTAGCTGCGGCGGACGACGATCTATCCTTGGTATGTCGTTTCACGTGTTTCGCCAGATGATCGCTCCTCATGAATCTTCTTTGGCAGACCGTGCAAGCGAACTTCTTCTCGCCGGTGTGCGTCCGCTTATGCCGCGAGAGCTCGTCGCTCCTCGAGAAACGTCTGTTGCAGTCTTCATAGGGACACGAGAATGGTCGTTCGCCGGTGTGAGTTCGCGTGTGAGCTTTCAAATGGGACGATTTGAAATAATTCTTCCCGCAGCCAGGATGCTCACACTCGTAGACGCGACGCCGCGCGGCTGATTCTGATACAGTTGTGTTCAAAGTCGTCGCGGTCGTCGGCGCGGTTACCAAAAGAAGCGGTGCTCGTGGAAGTACCAACGAGGAGCCTAGGAGTCCAGTTACCATGATCGGGGCAGGTTTCGGTGCTAGAGGATGTAATTTCGGGTGTACGGTCTCGCGGTCGGTGTTCTTGTTGTTCACGATAATCTCTTCTTTCCGCAGACTCATTTTAAACTTCAAACTCTTGAGCACGTTTTCCGGCTCCGGCCCGAACCGCCGCGTGCTGGCCTCAGACTGCGGGCTGGAGGCGATTTGCTGGTCATGTGAAACCGGCTGTGAGCATGTTGTAACGGTCTTTGGTATCAAGTTGGCAGGGCTGTAGGTACCATCCCGATAAGCACGCATTATCACGGATGGACGGGCGGGTTCCGGACTGGGGGGTGGTGTGCCGTCCAAAAGTAACTGTTTAAAAAAAGATACAAACAAATTTATAAATTTCTTTCCGTTTATACGAATGCACAAATCGCGTCTAATGTAGGGCGATGATACTCGTTCTACCGTACTGTTATAACAATATGTCTGTATCGGTTGTATTAGAGAGAGTGATTTCTTTTTATGCGACTTGTGGGGGAAATGGAAACTTCGCTAATAATAGTCCAAGGAAAACGTAGACAAGTTGTTGAGTAAGAATAGATAATGAGCGATATCGCAAAGTGCTGACTTTTTGTTTTGGAATTTATTTAAAATTATTAGGTGAGGGGTGCTCGCTCGGTTTTTAACAATTAAGAGCCATCTGTTAGCCTCGTCGTTTTACAAGAGATACGGTCGAAAGGTATGAACTGCTTGCTCGGAGGATAAACGACAAAAATGGTGTAAGAGTGAACGCACGCTGTAAACGGGGTCATCTTGCAAAACAACTCTATAAAGTGCGCGCGTACGCATGCGTGTATGTATATTGGAGTGGCCAGTCGATGGCGCGCGTAGAAAAAAATCAAAAAGAGATAGTAGTCCTGCGTTCGTGATGCGCAGAGAAGCGACTTGTCGATATGCACCATGAAAAATGACATGAATTTACCTTCGCCAATTCGCATTGTTCCACGCAACGCCTTTTTCGGAGCGGTTCATCCTCCTCCGAGTCGGAAGGTTGCGGCGTCGGTGGCAAGCCAGGTCTCGCATTTCCATCGTCGTCTTTCTTTGTGTTTATCTCAGCAGACTTCGTCTTCAACGAAAGTTTATCTCCCAAAAGTGCTGCGACGCTGAAGGAGGATTGAAGCGGTTCGTTCTGTAAAGAAAATAAGTTGCTCGATGCATTACTCAAGGTTTCACACAAGGATGGTTTCGCAATGACAACTGCAAAATTCTATAAAAGAAGTTTGCAAAAACAACGGAAAATGTAAAAAAATTCCGTAGAAAACGATAAACAGCCAAAGAATAATAGTCATAGGTGAAGGCGGAAATGGGTTGGATCGTTATTCCTAGCTGCGTTCATATTTCGCGGGCGGTTGATCAGACCAGAGTGGCGGTACTTTTAATGCATCGTCCAACTTACGTGTTTGAATTGGGGTGAGGCCGGCGGCGAAAGAAGCGTCTGATTCGCATCCATTTTTTTCGATGAAAAGGAACGCGGTTACGTGGTACTACGTTTAAAGAGGCTTGGTCGTGGAAACAAGACGCGGCTCCGTCTCGCGCGGTATTCCAAATGCGAAAAAAGACGTAAAGAGACGTAAACCGTCGAACGTCTGGTAGCGCAATGAAGCTTTCTCAGGTCGATTGAGCTCGACGCTGTTCTCGTTGTGTGTGTGATCATGCGGCGCGTTTCATCGCGGCCAATCCGGCCGAGGGGCTCGCCGGGACCATCCAATCGCGGTTGTGTTATCAGCCGTCGACCGCGTGATCACCGGCGTGCTGTTCACGTGCTCCAGGTCTGACTGAGACCGTGATCATGACGTCAGTCTGCGTGGCGTGCTCGCTCGATACGTCATGGTATCGCTGCGCTCTCCAAGCGTGATGCAGCCTCGCAACCCTCCTACGCTTTCTTGCGAGGTTGACCGACTCACTGCTCTCTCTTCCTCCTCTGTCCTCACTGTCTTTTCTCTTCCCGACGACTCCTCATCACCGCTTTGTCGCCTGGCCGACTCGTTCAGGCGAAACGGAACGTATGCGTACAAAACAAGCCGAGCCTCCGAATTGCTTCGCACCTTCCTCTAATTTATTCCATTGCACTCTGCAACCACCGATTTTTCAAAACGAACATACTGATTACGTTTTCGTACATATACATCGTCGAAATCATTCCTGTTCGAGTTAAATAATTAATTTTACCATTAAATGCGTATTCTCATTTTTTAACGCGTGCCAGGTGATACGTACTGCGTGTACACGCCTTTCGCAACCTCACGTGGAAATGTTTTGTTCCTACAAAACTGCATAGTAGCTTTTCGATGATTTCAGCACTATTAGCTACCGTTCTCGTCCTTGAACGATACGTTCCGCGCCAACAGATGGATGGCTCTGAAGAAATACAAATTACGCTTCTAGGAAAACTCTTCGCCGTCGAACATCCTTGTCGCGTCACTTTTTCCCAAGCGACTGTTTCGACTTTACCCGCGACACACCAACGATCGTAGTACTTAACTCTTGACATTATTGCTCGATTGCCGTACCTTTTTTACTCGAGAACGCTAGTACGCGCTTAGTGAAAAGCGTCGAGCGGCAAAGTGAAAAGAGACCTAGGGAAGCGAGGTCGCCGGGAGGTCACATTTCAACGAGGAAGCATTCTGGCGCAGTCTGCTGTTAAATATATATAGTGTATCGGGCCGCCCACTTTACGGCTAGTTAATTCGAATCCGACTCGGACGATGTAATGCTGGTCTTTGACTCTCCTTTGTCTCGTTCTCTTCCATTATCACACGCCCTCCTTCTGCCCTTTTAAATTTTTTCATTATTATCCACGATACTAATTGATCGGTCAAATAATTTACCGAGTAAATTTCGATTTCACCGTTTGCTCAAAGTCAGACGTGTAGTACAAGGAGTTGAACACGCTTCAAGCGAGACAGTGGATAATCGATCAAAGAAGCGAATAACTCTATCTTTTTGCCTGCTCGTGGTTATATTTAGCCATTGCTGCTCTCTCCTCGTCTTTTAAGATGTTCCGATCGTCGTGTATGCATTCTGAAGGTTGCACGTGTGGCAGTTTGCGCACGTACGGAAAATCATATTTCGTCACATTCATGTTTATAATCGTATTTCACACGATAAGTCGGTCTAAATTTTTTACTAAAGATCCTCGTGAAACGAGGCAGTGTACATATTCATTAATGGTCCGTGTCTACAGCGGACGTGCCGAACCAAATAGAGTCGCGAAGAGATAACGAATAGTTTAACTGAGAAACAACGAGTCTGACAAGCGATGTTTATTGCGCGACATTAATCTATTACAACGGCTTTGGCTTAGTCTCTACCTTCCAAACGCACCTTTAACGACGGTCATTATTTTCTGACTTTAAATATCCGCCGGTTGGTCCGTTGGTCTGAAACTTTTCACGGCCTTCAAGATAAAATTCATAGACAATCGTAATCGCATGCTAATCAAAATACGGACACGCTAAATATTTATCGAATGTCACCGTTAATATAATTGCTACGTTATGACTCACTAAAATGACGCTCGTGTCTGCGAAGTATAATCAGGAATGTTTTCTAATTATCCCGCGATAATATGCTCTTTAATATGCTTCTAAGATTGTTACCTCATAAGGGAAATTTTCAACGAACTGAAAAAGTTCCAACTCCTTTTAATGCATCGCTCTAAACGACTTTCCGACTTAACGCTCTAATGAAATTCGTGACCCTCGAATTACATATTTCGCACTTGTCTATGAACGAAGTCGTCCGGAGAAAAACATCGTGTAAGTGTGTACGTGTGTATTTAAGTATATGCACGTCGTAATCGGCTTGGAAAACGGAGCATCCCATTGCAACCTGTTACCTAATCGCGTTCGAGTATAGAGTATAGGGCGGCACATAACTGCGCATTCTTATCAATCTGTATGCAACGACATGATATCGCGACAATTCATTAAGAAAGATACGTATTATCAAGCGATGAAATAAATAATAATTGATTCGATAAGTTTCAATTTTTATAATCGCTAATGTGCAATCATACCGGAGAGCTTTAGGCTCGTGTCGTAGAACCGGCGAACGTGTGAAACTACGGAATCAGCTGTTTCAGAGCGTCCTACGTAGAACTCCCTACGTACGTTTATCAATAGGTCTCTTATCGGTACTTTTTGAACAGGCTCCTTATCGCGGAGCAAGCAATCGCATGGAATATTACTACGTCAATTTTTTTCTTCGTTGTTTTTCTGATGCCAGCAGATCCTACCGTCCCGGATGCGCAATTCGTGTCGCCGGTCTGCCCTGTACTTATTCATGCGGGTACATGGACAATCGCGACTATGAATAATCAGCGAACGCACAATTCGAAGAACAATATGTATAAATAATATTCGGTTGTCTCTTTCGTAACGAGGTTGCCTATCAGGAAATTTATAAACCATTTCGTCATCCCTTTATCAAGGATCCGTATAAACGTACATACGTGCGAACGACCGCTCGCGCTGCGCTTTTAATAATTCCCCGGACTTTAATTAACTTTTGATATATCGATCCTCGTTAGTAGCATGCGTCTCGTCGATTTGTCGAATTCAACGGCTGCCAATGCTCACGATGTGACAACAAGAGAATCATTCAACGTGCTCGTGATCACCGAGCGCCGTACGTGCGTTTCACGCTTTATCTTTCAGGCTCGTGTCAACTTCGCGAAAGTGTCGCTAACATTGTTTTTCGAATAGTAGTATCTGTTCGGCGAGTAACAGTGTAGGAGCATCCGTAACATAGAACACGAGCGGTAGGTATCGTCGATTTCGTTCAAGACATCCGACCCGTATCGCGTCGTTTATCCTAAACTTTCCCTGCGGAGGGCCTCAAGGTCGGACATTGGACCTTCCTCTAGCTTTCAATATTACCCGCGATGTTTTGTAATATTCTAATTAATAGCGTCGCCGAGGTCATTGAATGTTGCATGCGCAGAACAAAGAAAAAGTACGTGCGGAAATTCCTGGAAAATGTACTGTAATAACAAGCTAAATAGCAACGGCAAATCATAGTATATTACTTATATTACATAGAGTGAATCAGTAAGAAACATCATATAAAATTATCCATTAGTCACTGATTTCGTTAGTAATAACAGAAATTATTCTGATTTGTCGAAACATAAGGTCAGGTTTATTTAATGATTTATAACAATTTAAACAATTAGTTATCGCACGTACGTGATGAAATGTACTTTTTTATTCTGTATTTTGAGAGAGCACGTTTTTTCTTCAAAGAAACGAGTGATATAAGCTGATAGTTTTTATATTCCTTTGAACTTTCTTTATCAACATCACGTGTTATCGCCACGTAGTAATACGAATTAATAAGATCTCTCGAAAACATTGAAAATCTATTTAAAGATTAGGCTTTATGTTCAGCGACGAAGGCTCGTCGGTGGGCACGTGCATCCGGCGACTGTTGATTTCATTCAGCGGCTCGCTACGTCATCGGCGTTTTTGTTGCAGCAGTATCTCGTACGCCAGCAAGTTCTTATCCATTTTTGCCATCAGATTAGATTCAACTAGATATTCCTGCTTATGTTGTTGTTAAACCAATAAATACTAGCCGCTTCCTGTGACCTTTTCTCGTTTTCCAGCAACCTCACGTCTTCTTTTCCTTTGTTCGACCTTCGGGCAACTCCTTGATAAAATCACAAGTATCTCACCGTTGATGCATCACTAGTAGCACGTTTTCGTGCAAAGAAAATCGCTTTATTTTTGGCATTACTTCTAAACCAGCTTTCGTCCATGTGTTCATTCGAATTTAAAATACTTGTCAGGACACTTGAAATCCTTAAAAAAAGGTTTTCTATCGTCCCGTGCGTTCGAGCAGCTAAGCGAGAGTTTTCCATTACAACTGGTTTCTATTACAGAAACCATGGTTTGGAAAGCGTTTGAGGCGTGTCTGATAAATAGGTCGAAGCCCTTTTACGGACGCCAGCAACTGAACGCGGGGAACATGATTGAAAATATTCGATGAAGTATAGTGTTTACATTGTAAAAAAAAAGGCATCAGATTCGATCGCAGATGCATTTGGTGCATCGTTCGAGTTCAGTCTCGTCGCTCGTACAAAAATAGCATGAGTATCGGCAGTAGTGGGAATAATTGGTCTTTGACTTGTTTACATTCGATGAAACGGTGTCACGTAAAAATCGAGACGAAGGTAAGTACATGATACTTACGAGCGACTAATCGAGCAAACGAACACATTACACAAATTATTCACAAACCTTGACAAGTATAATTCCTACAGTGACAAACATATTTTACCCGTTTCGAAAATGCGATTGTACGTGCATTTTCACCTTGTCTTGTCCAATTAGTTGTTACTTCAACGATAAGCTTGACGCAGTAAATTAAACATATGACGTAAACTTATGTAATATTTCTGTGTAAAAGCATTCCATTGCATCATAAAACTTCATTCATTTATTAGATTCTTTGTATAATAATTCAATTAAGATGTGCATAAGGAGATAGCGATTTTAAAATACGTTGCTGGCGGTACGCATGCAGTCTGTGGTATGTATCTGTCGTAAAAAATATTCTGATTACCGAAGGAGAATAAAATGGATTGTGCCTCGAAACTACGAATCACTGCCGTAGATGTCGCCAGAGAACTTGCATATTTTGTAAACAAGTAATAAAATAAGTACCTGTGGTGATAAAAGCAAGGCTTGAACACCTATCAATTCGTAATAAATAAAGAATATTGGAATTATAATTGTGAA